GTGCGGGGTCGGGCGGGCCGGGCGGCCGGGGAGCAGTGCGGGGTCGGGCGGGCCCGGGCGGCCGGGGAGCAGTGCGGGGTCGGGCGGGCCCGGGCGGCCGGGGAGCAGTGCGGGGATGTGCGGGCCCGGGCGGCTGTCCAGCAGTGCGGGGACGGGCGGGCCTGGGCGGCCGGGGAGCAGTGCGGGAATGGGCAGGCCGGGGAGCAGTGTCGGGATGGGTGGGCCCGGGCGGCCAGGGAGCAGTGCAGGGATGGGTGGGCCCTGGGCGGCCGGGGAGCAGTGCGAGGATAGGACCTGGAAAGTCAGTCAATTCAAGCGTGGAACCTGGGCGACCAGGCAGCGGCTCAGCTGCACCTCCAAAACCTAAGTGCACTGTTGTATCAGAAACAATCTCATCTAAAAATTTAGTCTCCAGACCAAGTAATGTACCAATGAATGGAACGAGACCTCCTCCAGGGCATAGACCAGTGTTTCATCCACAAGGTATGCTGTTTTCAGCAAATAATGTTTTGTGTTACAAATATGTTTCATGCATTACTTGTTCCACATTTCTGAGGTTGAAGTTGATCAGAATTGCCAGCGAATTGTAGATAGATTTTTCTAAGTGTATCTGATAGCCAGAGTTGCATTCTGAAGAATGCCACTAAATAGCAGTATGACTTTTTCTCTCCCTTTGCCACTCATTGCAATATTTCTTTCCTTTTCACTGAACACTTACACCCAAGAAAATAAGATCCTTGGGTGGGTGAGATCTTTTCCAGGGAAAGAGAGAGAACAAATTTAATAAATAGAAAGGAAGGAGGGAGGAGTCCAACTAACCAAAAAAAATGTAATTAGGTCTTTTCAGGTAACTTTTATAAACACGAGCTGCTTTTTAAGGGTAGGTGGGTGAGTAGCCAAAGGGGAGAGAAATGAAGGATTCCTGAGGCCAGGTGTCATTTAAAATTGTGATTAATTAAATTTTAATAGTGCCTTCTGTTCAAGGATCTCAAAGCACTTCATAAACGTTAGGCCCCACAACAAATCTGTGAAGTATGCTTAGTAAGTGTTGTCTGGATTTACTCTACCTTGTTGGCATGGGGAAGTGAAGTTTAAGAAAAAAATCTTCGTAGTTGTAAATAGGATAGCACTTTTACAAATGAGTGTATTTGAAATTCCATGGTTGAGCAAGTATGCAGGCATATATTTACCTTTCATTCTGGCAGTTCCTCTGGGAGGCAGTTGACTGTAATGATGGGAAACTTGGCTTGTATGTGTAGCTTAGAGGAAATATTTCCTCTTGCTGAGACTCTTGGAATGTCCAAACCAGTTTTTTTTTTTTAAAACTCAGTCTTGTGGCCCAGAGCTGCAAATTGTACTCCAAATCATAGATATACCTGCACAGAGTCCAGTGAAATCATGTGTTTATCAAGGAGAAAAAAGGGGGAGAGAAGTAATGGGGAGAAGCATAAATAGAAAAATAATAAAAATAATAATTTCAGTAGTGAAGATTATTTTGTGACAGATGCATTACAGAAGTTGTAAATATTTTTACTCTTTCTCTTTAGGTCTTCCAAGGCCTTCTCTTCCACCTATAAGTTATAAAAGGCAAATAGAAGATGATGAGGAATATGACTCTGAAATGGACGATTTCATTGATGATGAAGGGCAACCCCAGGAAGAAATATCAAAACATATTCGAGAAATATTTGGCTATGATCGGAATAAGTAAGAGAAATTAAGATGTAAAAATATTTTCATGTCCTACATTAATTTTCTTTGACCAGCTCTTTTCTTCTGAAACTGTAAATTGTTAAACACTTAGTGTTGCACCCAACATAGAAGAAGCTCTAATAAAGAATTCCCCTAACAGGCTAGAACAGAACACAGAACTAAAAATTAATGGTAGCTTAGTTACAAGTGATCATGACTTGATCACATTTAAAATGTGCAAACAGAAGAAAGTCCAAACCAGTAGTATATATATACTTTATGCTTTAACAGAGCCAACTTTACAAAGCTGAAAACAATTATGAGCCAAATCAGCTGGAAGGAAGAATTTAATCAGAAAAAAATGTGAATGATAATTGAGGATCATTTAAAAACATCTTACTAAATGCTCCAAAAATCCACAATCCACCAACTGAGGTGGAAGGTCATGGTGGTTAAAAAAAACAATCTGATTTAGAGGGAAAGTGAAGGCAACTGTAAAAAATATATAAATAAATATATATATAAATAAATAAATATATATATATATATATATATATTTTATGTATATATATATAACAAATGGAAGAAAGGAGATGATGACAGTGATGAATATAAATTGAAAGTTAGGAATTGTAGAAAATTGATCATGAAAGCAAAGGGACACAAGGAAAAATCTATAGCCAGCAGAATTAAGGACAATAAGAAGGACTTTTTAAAATATGTTGGAAACAAAAAGAATCCTGACAATGTTATTGGTCTATTACTAGATGGAAATGGTAGAATTATCAATAATCAGAAAAGACAGAAGGGTTCAGTAAATATTCTTGTTCTGTATTTGGGGGGGGGAACAGATGATAGTCTAATCACATGGTGATTACGCGCTTTCCATTCCACAAGTATTTCTGGAGGGTGTTAAGCTACTAAAGAAGCTACTAAAGTTGGACGTTTTTAAATCATCAGGTCCAGATAACTACCATCCAAGATTTTTAAAAAAGCTTGCTAAGGAGCTCACTGGACTGTTAATGTTGATTTTCAATAAGTCTTGGAGCACTGGGGAAGTTCCAGATGAGGAGAGAGCTGATAATGTGTCAAGTTTTAAAAAGGGTAAATGGGATGTCCTGGGTAATTATAGGCCTGGCAGCCTGATGTGAGTCCCAGGCAAGATAGTGGAGTGGGTGATATGGGTCTCGATTAACAAACACTTAAAGGAGGGTAATGTAATTAATGCAAATCAACATGGCTTTATGGAAGATAGATCCTATCAAACTGACTTGATATCTTTTTTTTTCCTAGAGATTACAAGTTTGGTTGATAAAAGTAATAGTGTTGCATAATATATTTAGACTTCTGTAAGGTATTTGACTTGGTACTGCATGACATTTTGATTAAAAAACTAGAATGATTTAAAATTTGGTGGTAATGAAGCATAAATTACAAAATTATCAATTCTTTGAGTCGCCGTATGTGATAACTGACAATATGTATTTCCAGTCCTGTGGTATTTAATGCTTTATTATAGAATAGAATATCAGGGTTGGAAGGGACCTCAGGAGGTCATCTAGTCCAACCCCCTGCTCAAAGCAGGACCAATCCCCAGACAGTTTTTTACCGCAGTTCCCTAAATGTCCCCTTCAAGGACTGAATTCACAACCCTGGGTTTAGCAGGCCAATGCTCAAACCACTGAGCTATCCCTCCAGCCCTTTGGAATGCTTTCTATGGAAGCCTGTAATATTTCACAGTCTCTTCTAAATATTTATACTATATTCAACATTATAGTATCTTGTTGCCTAAGTGTAAAGCTGTGTAGCTAGCTCTTCAATTTGTGTTAACTGTTCTGTCAGAGGGTCAAACCTCTGATATATTTGTTACATAGAGCAATTAACATATGCACACATTGACCCAGAAATGAAACCTTTTATTTGCCTCATTTCATACTCTGCCTCCTTTCTTAAAGTATATTTTTAAACTTAATGATATTTCAAAAACCTCAGTTTTTCTTGATAAAACAGTATTTTCTTTAACAGTGTGGCACCCCTAATAGAGCTGCCATGTAAGCATAACCCACCACATGAATTAATTAGTGTGAATAGTGTCAAGTGAACATTTTTGACCTGAAGATTTGTGAAGCAGAAGTGTTACCCTCTTCTGCTTGCAATTGTTCTTTCACAGCTGTCTTGCCAATCAGTATAGCTGTCATTAAAATATCATGACAGTTCAACCACAAGTAGGCAACTGCTTCCTCCTTCACACAATTCAAACTTTGTTTCTACTTGACTTTCATTTGTTCTTTTTTTTTTTTTTTTTTTTTTTGGGGGTGGATGGGAAGGAAGGTGGGTAACTAAACTGTCCAAAGTCCCAGGTGAGGAAAAGAGCAAAACTATTCAAATAAGAGATTAAAAAAACCTGGCATACTGTCAAGAGCTTTTCTTTTACAATGTTGGGCTAGTGGCTCAAAGACTAAATCATATGGATACATTTGTTATTTTCTAATGAAGAATACTAGGAAGGATTTCAGCCTTTTCCATATTTTGCTGTTATGGACACCTGGACCTTCAACAGCAGGTCTGATATAGTTAGCACTGCAACAGAAACGAAACAAAATGAGCCATATCAAGTGGCAGGTGTGCTGCATAGGACAGGACACGCTTTCTGTAATTCACTATTGAACGTAGGTTAACAAATACTCGGATAAGTAAGTTAAAGTATGCTTATTATTCAGCGGGTTAAAACTTGAGTTTAATTTTTTGGAGAAGTGTAATAAGGTATAAATCAGGATAATCTTTTATTTTAAAAAATCTTGCCTATTCTTAATTCAACCATATGTATTAGTGTTGATTAGCGCTAATTTTTGTTTTTCATTATATTGGATTAAATATAAGTATTTGCTTTCAGATATAAAGATGAAAGTGATTATGCCTTACGTTACATGGAGAGCAGCTGGAAAGAGCAACAAAAAGAGGAAGCCAGGAGGTATGAATTAGATTTAAGTTTTGTTAGTAAGAATTTTCTTCTGCTTACTACTAGAACCTTTGTCATGTAGCTGAGTTAAAATGGACATTTGTCAGGTGAAATTTGGTCCTAAATACAAGCTTTGTGAAAACGGGCTTACATAAAACTTAAGGCCAAATATCTTCCATAAGTGTCTTATAGTTCCAGTCAAAAAATGTTAACAAACCTTGCGGTTTATCACTTAAATATTGTAGAATTTTGCTAATTCTTGAGAGCTGGGGAAAGGAATTGACTAGTAAATGCATATATAAACATCGTCCAGACACAAAAATGCAAAATATAGTAGTAATAAAATAATGAAAAATAAAGCAGATTTTTGAATTTCAGTCATTCATCTCTGGGGCTGCTCTTTAGTGGCAATATATGACACAGGCCAACAGCCTGTAATAGATTTTTTTCATCTGCATGGTTTGAAGGTGAATGTGGTGGAGTTATAAAATCTACTCAGTGTTTTACCCCAGCTACTGAGTACTGGGACTCAAACATAGAGACAGAGTTGCGCAAGTTTCCTGTTTCCTTATTGGGCCTTTTCGTTGTCCTTTAAAAGATGTTAAGTATTGCATACTTGCAACTTCTCACCAAGGTTGGCCAGTAGGTCTTGATTGCTTCCCCAGGTACAGCTACTCTTCTCACAAAGTTAGTCAGCCTGCAATATGGAGTTATGGGGACCAACTGTCCAATCGATTACTTGAATGCTACACAGCAGCTGCTCTTCACCAGATTGTGTGATTGGGACCATGAAACAAGGGTTTTTCGGTGTTGATCACCTGGCTCCCTGTTCAACTGAAAAACCTGTTTCTGAAGGTTTAGATGCTCCCCTTAAAAGTCTAAGGAAAGAGTTGTATTAATTGTAAAGCACCTGTGCAAAATATCTTTTTCTCTCTACCCCAAAATGCTTTTAACCAAATATCCTAGACTTGTTGTGCATCCTTCAAGTGGAGAGAGATCTTTCTAACTCAACAAACCTAACATTCTGGGTACCATGCAGCTTTCATTTTAAAAGAAAAATATCTTATGCCAAACTTCAAATATTTGAATACTTGGTGTATTTATTACTTTAAGTTAAACTCTAAATTTGGGTTAGTTACTTTTTCTACATGAAAAGAAGAGCAGGAGTTGTACACATTAATGTCTCCTGGGTAGCAGTGTGTAAAGGATTTGATATCTTTTCTTATTTGGCAGTTTGAGACTTGGTGTCCAAGAGGACCTAGAAGAGCTGAGACGTGAAGAGGAGGAATTGAAACGTAAGAAGCAGGCAAAGAAGCTGAGGACACGTTAACTGATTTACAGTGGTTTCGTTCTGTTTTTCTACTGTCCTGGTCACCCCTTTGCCTCAATATTTCAGCTCCTCTTATAGTATAACTTTAGTTTTTATTTGCTTATTGGTGAGCAAGAAAATATGTAAAGGGAGGAGAGGGCATAGAAAAACATGGCTTTAGTTTGACCCTAAAATATTTATTTTTAATACTTGCCAGGGTTAATTTTTTACAAAAAGAAACTAATGCAGATTTTTGGAATAAAAGCTATTAATGAATGTTTCCATTGACTAAATTAGTTCAAAATGCCAGCAGAAATATTGACTAACTATGCACTGGCTTGCAAGATTTATGTGGGCCCATACACCAGTAAATCAGACTTGCATTCTACATTTGACATGTGGGGAAAAAAAAGATGAATGCCATTTATGTTCCTTAGTTATTTTTGAGAGATAAAAGTACTGCTTTATGTCTTAAATCTCCTGAATTAGGATCCCTCAAAATATTGAAATATCTTCTGTTCAAAACAGCTTGGTTGTAAATTTCAGCCATTGCCAGTAATGTTTAAAGCAATAAAATATGTTTTTCTGATTTGAGAACCTTGTGTCTTAACAAAAATAGTAATTAAACAAACAGAAGAACCTTTAATTTCTAAAAAATGCTTGTCATTCATTATACCTTGCATTTAGCAGTGTGACCAAGTTTACATTGGCATTTTTTATGTCTGGAATGTCAATGCCAACCGATTTCAGTAAAACACAAATAAACATTTTTCCTGGAAAATAGGAATTTGCAACGTTTGTATATAACTAGTGCTTTTTAGCTCAAGCAAATGCTTAGGAATTTTTTTTTGCCCTGTAAATCTTAAAATTGATCTTAGTTTCATCTGTTTTTACACATTGAGTGTACAGTACACTTTTTTGTTTTCTCTTGTATTAAAAATCAGGTTTTTTTTAAATATGAAGCAGTTATTTATGCAAGCAGTTCCAAAGTCTGGAAGAGTACATTAGAATGAAGTTGTGTGAAATACAGAATTTTCAGATATTTTTTTATGATCAAGCCAAGATGCATTTGCAATTCCTCTGTGATATCAAATAACTTTGCAGTTGTCATGCTGAATTTAACTAGTGAATACTTCTGATTTAATTTTAGCGAACCAAAAATTTAAATGTAATGTGTATCAAGAGAGTTCCGCCCTCTATTTTGATGTCCATACTGCACCTTTATTTCAAGCTATGCACTACAAAGATACGTTTCCTCTCAGTAAATAAGCGTGTAAACAGTAGGCACACAGTTCATCTAAATCTGCAGAGATTGCACTCTGGGTTCACAGCCCTAATCTAATGATGCATTACTTTTTATCCCACAAGCTACCATAGTGTGTGGTCTAATCAAAGAACCAGTATCACTACTCTACTCTGCTTCAAGCATTAGCTCTCCATTAGTAGTACTTCTACCATTAGATACTTGAACTGTTGCTAACCTCTAATGCTAGAACCAATTGGCAAAGTGTTACAAGGTTATTGGGGGTAAGTGGAAGAGACTGGCCAAGGAATAAGGAGGAGGTGGGGGAAGAGAAATTGCATGCAAAATGGGTAGATACACAAGGACGGAGGGAACTTAGCCTATCAGAGAGCATTTCTTGTCATTGCTGTCTCCAGAAACACCAATTCTAGCATCAAAGTGGAAGGGCCAATATTGGCAGCAGGTGACCTGACTCACTGTAAGGAAAAAAAGGGACATTGTCCCTATTATAAACTGTTTTGGGCAGTGGTGAATCAGTCCATCTTTTCAACACACTGCTAAAACGAATGAACCCTTTGGATAGTAATTGACAGAGATACCCAAATTAAGGTAATTACCAGTGCACCTATGTATTTTTTTTAAAACTGTGTATATTGTATAACATAAAAACTGATCCAGCTCTATTGTACTTGATATATATATATATCAAGTACAATAGAGCTGGATCAGTTTTTATATTATGCAATATATTTGAGATGATGCAAGATACTGTAACCTGATTGGTTGATTATTTACATGCCATTGTATGTTTGCTCTAATTAATGGGACCAGCTGAATTGATTGCTGTAGTTTCTAGAATTATCCACTCAAGACAATGACTGAATGTTGAGACCATGACCAAGTGGCTATTCATTTTTTTAAACTGACTTGAACCTCTAGATCTTTGTCAGCCCAGATAACTATATTAGCCACGAACAATCATCTGAATTGTTGAAAAAAACTTTGGAAATGAAAAAATGTATTCACTGTTTGATCCACTGAAATTTTTAAAAGTGTGTATTAGAAAATGACACTTCTAAAACATTCAGTTTAGAGTTAAATCTGCATTTCAGATAAAAATAGGTGAAATAAAGCCCTGATTATCCTTTTTTTACTTATGTAATTGGCAGAGAGATGCTGTAATTAACCACTATTACAAGATTAGTTCAACTCTTTTATCTTGAAAGCACTGTGTTGTCGTTTGTCTTGTACAAGATGACTGGAATATTGTCTCCATTGCCAGCCTTCCTCAAACACAGTACACCTTGTGCTGTATTTGTTCCCTCATAAAATAATCATTGTTTAACATTTTTTTTTGATATTTCATATAGAAATTTAATTCACTCTTTGCAGTCAAATACTTTCTCATAGCTAGTATGGGTTACTAATGATTTTTCAAACTTTGTACAAGTTACTAGATTTTAATTAACCTGTCTTTGTACATTTACTGCATTCTTACTGCTTGTAAATCAGCTAGGACAGTACTAAAAAAATATTTTATATCCAAAAATCTGTTTACTCTCTACCAGATAATTAATTTTATTTTGTTAAAGTAGTCAATATCTGATGAGACTTCAAAAGACTTTGAAGTAAAAAACAAACAAAAAAAACCCACTGCCTATTCCTGCTTATAAGGATTACATGTTAAGCTAGTGACGTTCATTATAATTAAACTTTTATTTTGGTTTTTAGATTTTAAATTCAATGTTTGAAGATGTGCCTTTTTTTTACTAAATTGGGTCTAAAAAATCTATTCATGAATGTAAGAGTATAAAAAAGTAAAGATTAGTCTGTTTCTGCTATCACGGATGACAGATCTTTAAACTTGATAGTCTGAAATGATTAGTTTTCATAAAACCCTTCTAGGTCAGGCTTCGACTGCACAATTATAGTAGCTATTTCTTTACCTGTATTACTAAAAGAAATTAAGGGCACTTTGTATTAGACTTTTTGAATTTACAATTCAGCTGTGCTTACGCATCACAGGACTGTCCTTGGGAGATCAGGGTAGTGCATCACAGGAAGCCTTAGTGTGCAATTCTGTGATGTGTTTTAAAGTAGAAATCTTTCAAAGTAGATGAAATCTCTTCACTGGAGTCTGGAATTATTTTTGTGTAAACCCCAAAATTGTGCAGGAAAACTTTTTTTTTTCTCATTTTGAAACCTGACTAGTATCTGAAGTATATTTCCCAATACAGCAGGAGACCAAAACAGAGAGAGAAAATATATGGAGAGAGACTGGTGATTAAATTGTGATGAATATACTTGACTTTTATTTATTCCGGTGCGTGTGATGCAATATTGAATTGTCTGTGTAATTGAATGCTTTCTAGTTTAGCCTATGATTTTCTTTGGGGGTTTCATTTGTGCACAGTGTCTTTTTACACAATGTGACAAATCAGGTAAAAACGTACATAGCTTAACTGTTTTCTGGGTGCTGTCAAGAAAGTGTACACTTTTGCACTTGCAGAATGCAAATAAAAGTTTTGCATATTATGTATATAATAAATTACAGGTATTAAACATTTTATTTATCTTTGTCATTGGTTTGCATTAATTTATATAACATTTATGCTATTTTTTCCCTCCTAGACTCCTTACAAGATACTAGGTGACCCCCAGTTGTCCTAAAGGGGAAGAAAGTGATCACAAGTGCTCATATAGCCAACCTGAATGTATGGAAATCTAGCAGGGTAACTCAGCCATTCAGGAAAGCAAATTTTGAGACTGCATAGTGACAGGCCATCCCTCCACTCAGCGCTGACTCCATCCTTATGTCCAATGTATTTGAGACTTTTTGCCTAGTTTTGCTGACAAGAATGGGGCCCACAGGGGAAGTGGAGGAACAGTGAGCCATGCACAGTTTCAGGTCTGATTATGACAAAGCTTTTGTCCTGTTATTGACCGGCTTCTGAAATATAAAAGATTTGGAGCCTGTTTCTCCATTGCCTCATCCCTCATGGTGGTTCACTTCTATGCAAATTGGGTGTAAATCAGTACTGTTCTGATTTGGTAGCAATTTACGCTCCTTGCGTGAGGGTAAATGAATATGCAGGGTGCAAGGTAGTGGAAATCAGGCCATCTGCTTCCGTTTTTTGAGAGAACAGAATGGGTTAGTGCTTTTGGGGTACACTTAAAAGCAGAACCTTACTCCAGGGCAGGTCATACTTTGCCATTTTAACATTGAATAGTGTCCTGTTAATACCTTGTTTTGCTTTGAAGCTGTCGATTTCCAGGTTTTGTTTCCTTTTCTGCAGCTTAACTGCAACTTAATTTATTTAAAATAATTTGTAAGATTTCTTGATCACTAGATTCTTGGATACACTGAGCATATTACATTGTAATTTTGTCTTTGTGCAGGCTGTAATTAGTTTCCTGGGGTAACTGGGCCTATTTAATGTCAAGCCTTCCCTGCCTGTGACTGGCTTTTTGTGGCTACAGTCAGTCAGCGGCTTTCCCCAGAACAGATCTGGCACTCAGGTTGCCTTTGGAAACTTCATTCACAGCTCTCTACATTGGTGTCAGCTGAACTGTTTCCATCCTCTCCCAACTGACTTCCCCCCCCACCACCACCATTTCCTCCAGATTGGTAAATTTTTCAGGTCAGCCCATGCATTTCAGGTGCTGTTTGTGCCCAGCTCCTCCAAATTTTCCTCTTTTGGTAAAAAGCAGGCCACTAGTGCTTATTTCCCCCTCTGGATGGACTTGTCCTTTGGATTAAGTTTGTTGAAGGCTGCCCTGTTGCTTGCTGTGGTGCGGGTGAATGGTTCAGCAGACTTGGCTCCATGTGCAGTGAGACTGGTAGCCAAGTTCATTTCAAAATGTTTTGTGTACTTGCATGTTCATGGCAGATTGATATTGTAGAGAGAATAAGAGCTTTGATTTTTTTTATATGTTAAGCACAAGGGCCCACTTCTGAATTTATTTGCACTCATCAAGTTAGGGTTTCAAGCCTTCTAATTCCTCAAATTTGGTGGCAATGTTATAATTTCTGACATTTGGTGCCATCGTACTTCTGCCCATTTTATATACACCTGACAAAGGATCTTGGGTTCCAGTGGTTTAGAGTCGTGTGTACACTGGGTCTCTTGAATTGCTTGAGTTATGCCTGGTGGGTCTTGTCCACATGCTCAGGGTATAACTGATCACCATATTTGGGGTTGGGAAGGAATTTTCCCTCAGGTCAGATTGGCAGAGACCCTGTGGGTTTTTCACCTTCCTCTGCAGCATGGGGCACAAGTCACTTGCGGGTTTAAACTAGTGTAAATGGTGAATTTTCTGCACCTTGAAGTCTTTAAACCATGTTTTGAGGACTTCAGTAACTCAGTCAGAGGTTAGGGGTCTATTACAGGAGTGGGTGAGGTTCGGATTAGCTGATCATGATGGTCCCTTCTGACCTTAAAGTCTGAGTCTATATGGCTGAGGCCAGGTAATAAAAAGCAGTCCTTTCCAGCACTCCTGTGTTACCAGACTTTTTAAATGTGGTATTGGAAGCTTGCCAAGGTCAGAAGCATGTGCTGAATGTTCAGAATAAGCAGACTAAGAGCTGGCTTGCATTTCAACTGATGTCTCGGCATGCGCTATGCTGCTGTCATCACAACCTGTTGGGGCATGAAATTAGCTAATTGAGGGGTTTGGTAAGGGCAGGAATGTGTGGTTTGTAATTTTAAAAAAAATATATGAAAAGGAAACTAGAATAAAGCACTTTGCAGAAAATGTTTACTTACCGAATTCCTATTTCCTATCTTTATGCACCAGCTGGGATTCCATGATTGTGATGTTAGCAGTGTAGTGTCCATGGGGGACAACTTAACCTATTTAGTTTGTGCATTTAGCACATTGAGTCTTGACGGGTAGGTTTTATTTTAACATTTTGTGGAAGGGACTGGGTGTGTCATGGGACTGGCACTGGGACATACAGCATCTTGAGATTATTGGTTTAAATCCAGCTCCAGTGAGCAAAAGTAGTTTTTGAATGATGGCTCTGAGGCGGTAAAAATGTTTAGTTATAGTCCAGGTCACACAAACCATAACATCAACTGCCACCTTGCTGAATGCCCAGGACAGAGAGATCAAGGACAGGATGGGCAAAGAGACTGACCTACCCCTTCTTTGGAGAAGCCAGTGTTGCTTCTGCCTGTATTAACCTGATCTTCATTTATCCCCAAGACTTCACTCTCTGAGGTTGTCAGTCAAATTTCATGCAATCTTAATATTTGTAAATCCAAATTTAGTAGTAACTTGGAATTTCAGTTCCATTGCTATTAGTTTAATTTGGACATTACATCACATCCTCAGAGGGTTCTCTCGAGAGAGAATGAACTCATAGAGAATGTTATATCAAGATCACTACTAACACATTTCCCAAATCATGGTCACTTACTATTCAGGACCGGCTCTAGGCACCAGCAAACCAAGCATGTGCTTGGGGCGGCACAATTCCAGGGAGGTGGATTTTTTGTTTTTGTTTTGCTTCGGCAGTTGCGCTCTCGGAGGTTTGTTTTTCTTGCTTGTGGCGGCAAGAAAACTAGAGCCGGCCCTGTTACTCTTGGGATCCTTTACCTACAATATAATTGTAAGATTAACATGGCTGGAGGTTTTGGATATGCAGATTTCAGTAGAGGATTGAGATTAATATTGTGAGAACAAAATTAAAATAGGGTGAAGATTTCACCTTTTCTTCTTTTTTCACAGTATGTAGTTACACTGAATGAGTTTCAAGACTGATAGTTGCTGAAGATAATGTGTTCTAGAGTTGTAGGCAGTTCCTTCAGCTTGATTTGCTGCTTCCTCAGCATCTGAGAAATTGTAGCTCTTGTTCCATCGAATTAGGATGCTTTACACTTTTGTGTGAGGCCTCAAAGAAAATACCTCTACCAGTACCTGATCCAGTACGTATTCCTGTCACAGAAAACACTTCTGAACTACAAAGAACTGGTTCAAATTCAAACCTGATTTTCAGTTGTCTTGAATCTGTGCAGAGTATCATCAAAAGCAGATAAAGGTTATTTCATCGAGACTTGTAACACCCAGCTTTAACAAATGTTCACTATGAACAGGGCTGTAATACTTCCAAAAAAAATCTCCCTAACAATTTAATAATCTACTAAATTTTGTCTTACAATGTTCTTATGTACCTTCCAGTCTCACTTTTGTGCATGCAATGGTGTTGCATAGGCTGGGACTTGCATTTGTTGAAAAGGTAGTTGCAATTAAAAAAAAAAAAAAAAAAAAAAAAGCCAAAAGGAGTTGAAGGGATGGGATATCTTCCCAGTAAATACCAGTCATGCATATGTAAAAGAATTCCCAAGTGTCTGAAACATTTTATAAGTTTTGGCGTCTCCTGCAGTTTGTTCATCAAGGACTCATACCCTCAAAGTGCTGAAATATCTGGCCTCTATTCAGCATAGCATTTAAACACAAGTAGGTCTACTGCAGGGGTGGGCAAAGTTTTTGCTTGAGAGCTACATCGGGGTTCCAAAACTGTATGGAGGGCCGGGTAGGGAAGCCTGTGCCTCCCCAAACAGCCTGGCCCCTACCCCTAACCACCTCCCTGGGACTCCCACGCCTATCCAACCTCCCCTGTTCCCAGTCCCCTGACTTCCCCTTTCCAGAACCTCCGCCCCATCCAACCGCTCCCTGTCCCGACTTCCCCTCGGGACCTCCCTGCCCCTTATCCAACCGCTCCCCGCCCCCTTACCATGCCACTCAGAGCAGCAGGACTGCCAGCCGCACCGCCCAGCAGGAGCTCGCAGCCCCGCCACCCAGAGCGCTGGTGGCATGGTGAGCTGAGGCTGCGTGGGAGGGGGAAAACAGGAGAGAGGCCGGGGAGCTTAAGGGCCGGGCAGGACGGTCCCGCGAGCCGGATGTGGCCCGCGGGCCGTAGTTTTCCCACCTCTGGTCTACTGACTTCATCAGGACTACTCCTGCTTAAGTGCTTTGCTGGATTGGAACCAGTGTGTTTGGTAGCTTAGGATTCTATCCTGCAGAGTAAGTTTTCCCCACCCCATTCTATTTGCTACATTTACAAACCATATATGAACTTTCACTTGCTATCATGGCTCGTACCATAATACAAAGCTAAATATTCCCCCAGAAATTGGATATGAGAGGAATCTTTTCCACTCTCCTTTCTATAGCAAGTTATGGTTGGCTATACCCTCTGAATATGTCCAGTCAGTATGAAGCCCCAAATCTCCCAGGCTCTGTGGGTCCAGGAGTGCTGGGGTGTAAATCTAAGGGCTTGAGCAACTTTTACATAAATTATGACACAGTGGCATTCAATTGCTTTATGTGAAACCAACAATATGCTTGACCATATTGAGGACTGTTAGGTGCTCGTCACTGGACACAGCCTGGACAGTTTTTCTTTAAACCACCAACAGGTGTTGTACATTGGTGTGTGTTTAGCTGCAGAGCTGCATTTGTAATAGAACACCCTTGTCACTCTTGATCCCAATAATAACTCTGCATTTAGTTGTCAGTGGCAGGACTGCATCCATTACTTCTTGTGTGAATCATCTTTCTTTTTCCAGCCACAATG